GGTCGGAGTCAAACACGGCTGTCTACTCTCCCCCTTCCTCTTTCTTCTAGTGATTGACTAGATTATGAAGACCTCGACATCTAACGGGAAGCACGGAATAAAAGGGACATCTCAGAACCAATTAGACGATTTGAACTTCACAGATGACCTAGCCCTTCTATACACACGAACAAATGCAGATGAAGACTGCAAATGTAGCAGCAGCCTCTGCATCGATAGGCCTCAACATTCACAAAGGAAAAAGCAAGATTCTCAAATACAACACGGAGAACACCAACGCAATCACACTTTATGGCGAAACTGTGGAAGATCTGGAAACATTCACGTACCTGGGAAGCATCATTGATGAACAAGGAGAATCTGATGCAGATGTAAAGACGAGGATTGACAAAGCAAGAACCGCATTCCTACAACTGAAGAACATATGGAACTAACAACAACTGTCAAGTAATATCGAATTCACAATCTTTAATGCGATCGTCAAGATAGTCCTACTGTATGGGACGGAAACATGGAGAACTACTACAACCATCGTCAAGAAGATACAAGTATTTATAAACAGTTGAATCAGTTGAAGTTAAACATTAACATCGTTGGATGCCAGCTCAGTGGTCTATCGGTTAAGGGCTTCGGCTCGAGACTGGTAGGTCCTGGGTTCAAATCTCGCTCGCGAGCGTGGGTTCGTGGATGCGCACTGCTGAGGAGTCCCATAATAGGACGAAACGGCCGTCCAGTGTTTCCAGGTTTTCCATGGTGGTCTAGCTTCAATTGACTCACGCTTTCAACTATATTTATAAACAGTTGTTTACGCAAAATACTCAACATGTACTGATCGAATACTATCAGCAACAGCGTTTTATGGGAGAGGACAAACCAGCTTCCAGCTGATGAGGAAATTAGCAAAAGACATTGGAAGTGGATAGAACATACATTAGGAAATCACTAATGTGTATAAACAAGGCAAGCCTTAACTTGGAATCCAGAAGGGAAGCGGAAAAGAGGAAGGCCAAAGAACAAATTAAGCCGGGAAATAGAAGTCGATATGAAAAGGATGAATGTTAACTGGGAAGGATTGCCCAGGACAAGGTTGAATAGAGAATGCTGGTGGGTGGCCTGTGCTCCTCCACGAGGGGTAACAGGAGTAAGTAAGTAAGTTGCACTTATGAACAAGTACATTTTTTTAAAATGCACATATTATGTCCCATATATGTGGTTTAGTTCTCTCATGCACACCTATTCATCATCCGTTCTGTCTGATCATTTGACTGGAGAATATGCGTGTTTGAAATAAACCATATGTAATAACATTTCATGTCACGACTTAATTACTGTCATACCGGAGGCAACGTAATCGCAAAAATGTCTGAGTCAGTTAACAGTACGAAATTAAGACGGATAAGTTAGTAATAAGAACCTCTCGGTCAAAAATACTGAAGATACGACTAGTTTTCTAGTTTGACAACTAACAACCAGTAACACCTTCTATATTCGAAGCTTTCCCAACCAATCGAAATCAGAAGTCAGGTGCGAAGAGATCGAAAAGATATATTTGATACGTTATCAATATATCGAGAAGCGTTTGCTCTAACCTAGCTAGTGAACGTAGGAGCTGTGTCCCACGCTGATTCGTAACGTGATCTGGTACGGATGCATGACCGAAAGCCTTCAGTTAAACAAGTCCACTTGCAACAATGTAGTCAGCATTCAATGTCGAACACTTAATGAGCTATTGATTTTGGGGAATTATTTACAGCTACAATACTATACGTATCCGTATTGTTATTTATGGTATTCGTTAACAGAATACATACAATGTAAGTAGACTCTATATTTCAACTACATCACTAACGATTCAATCATATTGGAGTCAGACTGTGGGCACTTAAATGTGATTACTTTCGTGGCATTACGGCTTAATCACACGGGACCCAATACAATCAAAACTAGTAAAATAACTTTTTTGTTTTTACGGGTTTTACATTTTCATGAATAATTACTTTGATCTTTATAATTTACTAAATGAACTAAATACAATAATCTGGAAATTTAACTGTGACACAACGTTACAAATATTTCGATCGTTATTAGTATGGCCCATCGATGTAGCAACTTAGCCCTTCATTTCCCATTGAATAATAGTATCAATGATAATTTAATTTGATTTTAAAATAATGGTATCTATATCTTGGGATTCACTGATGTGCAGACACTTCATTAAGATTACATTCCGTCAACAATTTTAGTTATTCTATATTTAAAAATGGTATTAGGAGAACCTCTCATGGATGCCAAATCCGACAAAACAGATTTTCTAATCATAGTCTATGTAAACGCGTCTTCAGAGTGAACGTTACACGACCCCTTAAGGGCCGTTCAACAGAATAACTTAATAGTCTTTGACCTATATAGTAATGCTATATAAAGTATTAGTAAAGCTGGAGTCACATATTTTGAGCTTTAGAAGAAAATCGCTACATACATACGTTTTCTACCAAATGTGTTTTATCTATGGCGTATAAAAGAACTAGTTGGTTTGCTTATTAATTAGTAGGAAATTCAACCATAGTAAGGTTTAAACTATGTATTTTTACATATATGATTAGTAATTTTCTTAGACCAGTTGATTTATTTAAAAGTTGCATGATGTTTTGCCGATTTATCACCAATTTTTATTCAATATCAGTTTGACATTCCTTATCACATGTGACCACAGGAACATTTTTTTGTATGTTATTGAGAAGCTGAATAAACTTCTGTCCCATAAATTACCAATGTGCACAATAATAAGAACCAAACGGTAGGGTTCTTATTTAACGTTAATTAGATGAGCAAACGGGACTTGTCTGACAGATTCGTTGCAATTCTTAGCATTAAACAGTATATGATAATTAGGTTTTATCATTTATTACAGTTAAAACAATGCTCAGACTTATGCTTTACACATAAAAACGCCTAAATAGTTTATTGATACTAGTTTAAATTATTTCAATCTCTTTGTGATGATTAAGGTCATAACAAATTTTCCAGGAATTTTCTTTTACTAGTTAAGCAGAAACCATTGCTTAAAAATATTTCAGTTTTACTGAAATCGGAACTTTACAAACAGTACACTGGCAACTATCATAGATAAATGGTGAAATTCATCTAGTCCCACCTCATATTAAGTGAAATGTGTAACTGAAAATTTATAATTAAATATATGATCTTTAAAGTGAAAATAGGCGAATTCCAAACGGTCAAGAAAAAGTCCTTGTTCATGCGCCTACAATTCAGGGGGGATGCCGCTGGCGAAATACTTGCTCAGAGATTACGCAGATCTATCCAAAAATCTTTCAACGCAGGTGAACTACGTTTGGTGTTTTCTACGCGTCCAATGGTGACACCGAGGCTTAAAGATGAAGTTCCTAGAATGACCACTTCATTTTGTATTTATCAGTTCGACTGCTCCTGTGGAGCAAGTTATATTGGTCGAAGTTCTAGGAATTTACATTTCCGTGCTCGTGAACACCTCCCAACGTGGCTAAGCAAAGGTCTGATGAGGAAAGTAAACAGCTCGATTTTGGCCCATTTAGTACAAACTGGTCATAGTGCCAGTATAAACCAATCTTTTTCAATTATTTATAGGGTCAGTAATTTTTTGCCTAAGCTTGTCAGGCTTAAAGTCCTTCAAACGGCGGAGGCAGTAGCCATCAGAATGAAGAAACCTGAGCTATGTGTACAGAAGAAATATCTCCAACCCCTACTCCTCCCTTGGCCAACCACAAGGCCAACTAATGAACAATCATCTTAGCTATTGTATGACCTAATTTGACTATATACTTACGACCTTTCGTAATCAAATGTAATTGTCTCTCTTATCTTTATTCACAAATCTTTGTATTTTATTTACTTACTTACTTACGCCTGTTACCCCTCGTCGAGGAGCATAGGCCGCTCACTAGCATTTCTGGTTAGCGTTTTTTTAGCGAGTTAACTTTTTTACGGGATGGGGTCGCTAATCCCATACCCAACCCTCCTCCTTTACCCGGGCTTGGGACCGGCAGCAACTCTCGAAGAGCTACAGGCGGAGTTTTGTATTTTATTATTATTGGTTAAATATCACTATTAATCCCCCTAAACATGATTCATTCACATCGCATTGATCCCTCCTTATTGCGTCTCACTAATTTTTCACACATTTAGTCTTCCACTTGATCGAATTGTAATTGCACTATCATATATATCTCTCACTCTATCTGACCCATATTTATATTCTGATCACAGATCTTAAATTATCACTTTACATATATACAGATTCAAGTGGTAACATTCCACATAAGACGCTATCAACATTAACAATTTTATTCTATTTGGCTTGACAATCCTAAATTTACATGCTTTAAACTATGTACTTTGCCTTTAACCTGGCCAATTTTTCGGATTATTAATTTGGATATATAATTGTAGAACCTGAAGAGAATTTATCGAAAAGAATATTCTTCGTTCAAATATTTGTCTTTTAAAATGTGTAAATGCTCTGTAAAAAAGACTAGGTAGGCTAGGTAACAAGACAGACCACGTCCTGCCTCAAGGACACAAGATAGACGCGAATTCACGTGATAGATTGGTAAATCAATCACCAATCCAAGTATATTGCCAACATGTCCCCGTTGGGCAGTCCAGTAAAATATTTTTTTTCCAACCTCTTCCCCCTTTCTCAAAGATTACCGTTTGGCTAATTTAACAGTGTATTGATTGATTGCTAACCTGCCTTCCTATTGGTTATCTATCATGTCAGCAACTGGTAGAATAAGGTAACGAATTAATGGATGGCTGTAGACATAAATCCTTAAGCATAAAAGGCTGATCACACCTTTCACTTTACATATTGGATAGCAATGTTTGTCGAATTATTTCTTCGTATTTATCTTGTACTCTTCATATTTCATTTTACCATAGTATCAGATTCAAGTAGTATAGGGAAGATTTACAAGAAATGTCGAGCTTCTTGGTCGAAATGGATGGTCAGTAAGACAAGTCTTCACTGGAATATTACTGATATTAATTTAAATATAACGGGACGTAAATGTGTATGGATTAATATCTCATGTACTCGGAATCGACAATGTCCCTGTGAAACATACTATTCAAAGGAATTGCTGGGTGTCCGATTACCCCGAAAAAAAAGTCATGTATGTGTTCAAACAAAGAGCTGTCGTGTTCTCATTTGTTCATCGATTGTTCATCTCGGAAGTAATATAGATTCAAACAAATTGGCTATAAAAACATTCAAAGTTGAAAATAGAACTGATGAGAGCCAAAACTTAATAGGATTAGTTTATGTTCCACTTGATCATAGTACATGGAAATCTTATGAGGAGGATAAGATCCAGGTGGAAGAAGTAAGTGGAGAAGTAAAAAGCGACTCGTATGTTTATCTTGATGTTTTACAAACACCTATAAGTCCTGTACGAGGTAAAATTTATTCACCTCCAAGTGATAATAATAATGATTATTATGACGATAAAAATGGACATTCACCGATTTTTATAGGATCCTTGCTATTTTCACTTCTGTGTTTATTTTTGTTTATCTCTTATTTTGTTAAAATGTGTTACACATCAAGCTGTACTAACATTTGGAGTACGAAGTATCATTCCACAAAAGCAAACATTCTTCTTGATGAAACTCAAGCGGAATCTGATAGGTATAATTGTTGACATTTTCCTGCTATTATTATCCTCATGAATTTTTATTAATAAAACTTTTACCCTTTTTTATTATGCTACCTTTTAGTTTGTTTGACGGGAAACTGACATTTACGTAGATTAATGTCATAATGAAAATAAGTTGGCTGAATAGTACAACTAATAAGTGGGTTATTCAATGAGCTTTAAATATTGTTTCATATCAATTAGGTGTATAATCTAACATTTTTAATCAAGTTAACTGACTAAGACTAACTACTTTATGCGGACGTGCATAAACGAGTATTGGTCATTTACTTTTGATGAAAACTCTGTCAATTGATGTTATTTCGCAAAACTACTTACTAAGATTACTTGTGTATGGCACCTACAAAGTGATGTACATTCGGATGAACATAAAAATACCAATTTGGATAAAAATGCCATTTCTGTACGAAATAAAAGGCCACACCCTCAAACCTAAGTGAGAAATATCTTGACACTGCATCAGATCATTCTGTACACTGAAATCGTCTTAAAATTTAAATATCCATGGGATTCGTATTTTTGGTAGCAGTGATAAGATTTCTAGGTATCCTATGTCGTGTAACGCTTGCTCCACGTTTTCTCAGGCAACTTCAACTCTCTAAACATGCGAAGTTAATTAAAGTGCTAACTCAGTTTCTAAAAACGATACCACGTTTGAGTGCGCCTCTAAATATCCTAAAGAAGCGTCAATAATTGATATGAGTGCTAACGATTGAGAGATTCATCTTATGCGGAACAACATCTATGCTAACCAGATGAGTAAGATAACTTATGCACAACACTTTAACGGTGACTCATCGCGCGATGAATTAGACAAGTTTTGTACGGCGGACGTATTACTGAAGACCTCCAAAAGAATAAAAGTATATTTGAGCTACTCAGTTATATGTAGCTCACCATGATAATTATTTACAAACTTATTGATTGTCTTTGAATACAAATCATGGCCAAAATGCGTTGAAAGTCTATAAAGTGATGTAACCAAAATGTTCTGAAAGTCGATCTTAAGTAGATATTGATTTCCTTCCTCATTCGTCGAGTCGTGGGATTCTACATACCCATCATAAAGCAGCTATTTAGAGTGTTCATCGTTATGCATATAAGTTGATTAGTTGGTTAGTCCTATAGACAAATGATACTTCTAGTTATAAAGCGTAACCAGCACTAATTTGATACCCCCGTCTTCTGTAAACTGTAATATTGATTGTGAGGATGGTCCACAGGTGAAGTCGCGGAGGCTCTAGGAAGCCCAGGAAGAGCCGCAGACATTCCATCCAATCAGGGCTAGGGGAATGTTCTAGAAATGCCAACGTGGAGCTTCTCCATTGGATGGATTAGTTTGATACCTATGTGCTTATTGGTTGACCTAAATGATAATTTACTTTCAGCCAAAAACTATTGTAGTGCCGTGCTTCGATCATAGTTCGCTTCGATAACCGTTATTAATACCAATCTTAACGGTGTATAATATCAGAAGGCAAAGGGAAGCGGCAACTACATTTTTATTGATAATCGATGCAGACCAGAAAGTTGTAAGCACATGAGCAACTGTAAGCAAGCGAAGCAAAGATGATGCGTATTGGAGATGGCTGGGAAGCCAACTCATTTTAAGCAAGCGTTAACTAACATTTATAGGCAGGCAAAAATGAGTGACAGACATATGATGAATAAGATACGAAGTGTACACATATGCGCTCATATAAAAAGTACTCAAGGTTAATAAGCAAATGATTAACAAGATCAAAAGATGACTCAATGTACAGGTGAATTGGCTTGGCCAGTAACTAGAGTAAAGTATATGGGCCTAACATATGAACTGGTACTACATAGCCCCCTTGTAGAAAATAGCACATTTATAAAAAAATGTCTGTTTTTGAAAAATAACACTGAAGCGGTATGTGGATAACGTATAAATGTGGGAAAAAATGGTACAATACCTGATGAATTACAGTGTCATGTGAGGGGTGAGCGTATTAAGCGAAAGTGTCATACTTTTGTAAAAAGGAACATGAATATTGTCAAAGTGCGGACAAAAATAGGGATGCTAGCATGTGATTATCAGTACATTAGTAAGCGTTCGAAAAAATTTAACATGAATTTATGTAGTGACTGTTCGAATGATAAAATAACATGTTCGTATGAGCGATTTGAAATATAGTGAAAATAGAGTATAACAGTAATTGCTCTGTGGTGCTGATTGAATATGAGGATAAAGAACAGTGAAATAGTCGATTGGCGGTGAGTGAATTCGAATTTACGTGCCGGGAGTTCATGAGGGTTAAAAATAATCCAGCCGTAGGATGATGACTTCATCAACGGTTGATATTCGTTGCTGCACTGATAATGCTAATAAAATGCGAAGTCAGCGTATGTTACCGTTTGCGTCGAGTTATCGTTAAATATGTATTAAAGCAATTAGTCCCTTTTATAAATTTCGATAGAACAATGAGAAGACGTAGTTGATCTGAAAAATGTGATGTATTTGCGCTATACATTTCGAACAATCTGGTCACACATATACTTGTCAAGGCATTTTTATATGAAAATTAATAAAGGTCAAAGAAACAAATAAAAGTACAACTAAAATAACTAAGGGGGAGAAAGAATAAGAAATTGTCGCGTTATTCTAGGCCATAGAATGACTTAAGGATTACCAAGGTAAATTCAAGGTTACGACAAATTGTTTTTGTACACATAAGGGGGGGTTAAATTTACGAATAGCTAAGGCTTCAATAAACTTAAGAATTCGACCTTGACAATTTCTATACAACATTCTAAATGCTGTATTAATGTTAATTTTGTGCCCCGTCTCAATAATGTGTTTTGCTATCGATGAACATGGTTTTCTACCGCCTACATTGATCGGATCATTTGACACACACTGATTTTGAAGCCATCTGGGTACATGTTCATTGACCATTGATTGCATTGTTCGATTACTCCTACCTATGTATGTGTGTCCACACAAACATGTAAATTGGTAAATACAATGGGATGTGACGTAATCATTAGTGCATTGTTTGGGTCTATTATGAATCATGGCCTTAGACTTTTCAATCACTACCAACTGAGCAGCATAATACGTATTCTCAATGGCTGCTTTCAATCTCTGCCTTAAAACTATACTGTTTGATTCGCCTCTATATGGTAGATTGATGTAAACCTTTTTCTTTGGCACTGAATAAATTAGAGGTCTTGGCATTAATTGACTTTTGCACCTATTAATAAACTTGAGTGGATAACCATTTGCTATTAACGTGTCAGTCAGTAACTTCTCCTCTTTTTCCACCATATCAGAGGTACATATTCTTCGAGTCCTCTTAAAGAGGCACTTAACTAGACCTCTCTTGTATTGCAATGGACAGAAACTATGGAAATTTAGGTATTGTCCCGTCCAAGTTGGTTTCCTATACACGGACCGTCTAATAGTGCCATCATCCCTTCGACTTAAAAGTATGTCTAGAAAGGCTAATTGGCCGTTACTTTCTGGTTCATGTGTCATCACAATATCATTTTGAACACCATTGAGTTTATCCAGTAATCGGTAAACATCAAAATGCTTATCACATATAATTAGAATATCGTCCATATATCTTCTATATAGAGTTGTCTCACCAATGAGGTCACTCGTCATATTTTCCACATATGACATGAATACCTCAGCTAAGAGAGGCCCTAAAGGGCTACCCATAGCTACACCATCAACTTGTCGGAAATATTCACCATCAAATGTAAATTGAACATTAGCTGTACATAATAAAAGTAAATCTTTCAAAAATGGTGACGGAATAGGAAAAAGGGGAAAGTTTTTTGAAATATAGTCACAAAGGAAATCCACCGTCTTTGTTAACGGTACATTCGTGAAGAGGGAGTTTACATCAAATGAATGCAAAGATTTATCCTTAATATTAATGTCACCAAGAAAATCGATTAGTTCAAATGTATCTTTTAAAGAGAACTTACATAGATTAGCACGAATTGGGTTTAACAGTTTTACTAACCATTTAGCTAGCTCGTGTGTGGGAGAACCACTCATAGACAAAATTGGTCGTAATGGAATATTAGGTTTATGAATTTTAGGTAATCCATATAAATTCGGGAGAACTGAACCCGAGGGTTTTAGTATATTAAACTCCTCGTTGTTTATGACGTTCATTTTAAGAAGCTTTAATAGATTGGACTTCACTCTGGATTCCAATTTTCTAACATTAATATTAGAAGAAACGTCCTGTAAGAATTTACTTTGATCACCCAGTATAGATAACATTTTGTCTTTATATTCACATTTATTGATAACGACCACCCCAGAACCTTTGTCAGGTCTGAGGATCACAATATCTGACCTACATTGGAGGTTTTTTAACGCAGCGAAATGTTTAGGAGTCAAAATACTTCTTTGTCTGACTTGAGATCCGTGAAAGTGGTGGGCAACGTCAACCAATTTCACCTTTAACCAATTTTTCCTATCCAGGGTGGTTGGGACAAGAGGGTTCAACTGATCATAAAGACTTTCAAATTGAGCATCTATCGACAGATCAGAAATCTTGGTATGTGCAACGGAGAAATTAAATCCGAGTGATAGAGCTTCTTTCTCGAATACAGAAAGCCTAACAGTTGATAAATTTGATACATATTTATCCGGGTTAAATTGAAATAAATTTCCATCATTATCATACACAAGAGTTTTACTCAGCTTTTGTTTAGTAGTATGATTTGTTTTAGCAACCACAGTACTGCAAAAATTCATAAATTTAATACGACATAGAAGAGAGAGATTAGATAATACGCATGATGCCTGAGTATGAAGTTCAATTAGTTTATTCAACATATCATTACATTTTTCTTTATGAGATTTCGCCAGACGCAAAAGATTAGACACATTTGGTTGTAACTTATTAGATCGTAAGAATTTATAGAGATGTCTTGGAAATATGTGTGAATTAATGCAAGTTTTATAAAACTCCAGTTTTACCTTTTCCGATGCAATTTTGCACTTCAGATTAGCAAGTTCATCTAACCGTTTAGTGCAAGACGAAGGGAGTCTTCTTTTCAAGAATTTAAAGCAATTAGTCCCTTTTATAAATTTCGATAGAACAATGAGAAGACGTAGTTGATCTGAAAAATGTGATGTATTTGCGCTATACATTTCGAACAATCTGGTCACACATATACTTGTCAAGGCATTTTTATATGAAAATTAATAAAGGTCAAAGAAACAAATAAAAGTACAACTAAAATAACTAAGGGGGAGAAAGAATAAGAAATTGTCGCGTTATTCTAGGCCATAGAATGACTTAAGGATTACCAAGGTAAATTCAAGGTTACGACAAATTGTTTTTGTACACATAAGGGGGGTTTAAATTTACGAATAGCTAAGGCTTCAATAAACTTAAGAATTCGACCTTGACAATTTCTATACAACATTCTAAATGCTGTATTAATGTTAATTTTGTGCCCCGTCTCAATAATGTGTTTTGCTATCGATGAACATGGTTTTCTACCGCCTACATTGATCGGATCATTTGACACACACTGATTTTGAAGCCATCTGGGTACATGTTCATTGACCCTTGATTGCATTGTTCGATTACTCCTACCTATGTATGTGTGTCCACACAAACATGTAAATTGGTAAATACAATGGGATGTGACGTAATCATTAGTGCATTGTTTGGGTCTATTATGAATCATGGCCTTAGACTTTTCAATCACTACCAACTGAGCAGCATAATACGTATTCTCAATGGCTGCTTTCAATCTCTGCCTTAAAACTATACTGTTTGATTCGCCTCTATATGGTAGATTGATGTAAACCTTTTTCTTTGGCACTGAATAAATTAGAGGTCTTGGCATTAATTGACTTTTGCACCTATTAATAAACTTGAGTGGATAACCATTTGCTATTAACGTGTCAGTCAGTAACTTCTCCTCTTTTTCCACCATATCAGAGGTACATATTCTTCGAGTCCTCTTAAAGAGGCACTTAACTAGACCTCTCTTGTATTGCAATGGACAGAAACTATGGAAATTTAGGTATTGTCCCGTCCAAGTTGGTTTCCTATACACGGACCGTCTAATAGTGCCATCATCCCTTCGACTTAAAAGTATGTCTAGAAAGGCTAATTGGCCGTTACTTTCTGGTTCATGTGTCATCACAATATCATTTTGAACACCATTGAGTTTATCCAGTAATCGGTAAACATCAAAATGCTTATCACATATAATTAGAATATCGTCCATATATCTTCTATATAGAGTTGTCTCACCAATGAGGTCACTCGTCATATTTTCCACATATGACATGAATACCTCAGCTAAGAGAGGCCCTAAAGGGCTACCCATAGCTACACCATCAACTTGTCGGAAATATTCACCATCAAATGTAAATTGAACATTAGCTGTACATAATAAAAGTAAATCTTTCAAAAATGGTGACGGAATAGGAAAAAGGGGAAAGTTTTTTGAAATATAGTCACAAAGGAAATCCACCGTCTTTGTTAACGGTACATTCGTGAAGAGGGAGTTTACATCAAATGAATGCAAAGATTTATCCTTAATATTAATGTCACCAAGAAAATCGATTAGTTCAAATGTATCTTTTAAAGAGAACTTACATAGATTAGCACGAATTGGGTTTAACAGTTTTACTAACCATTTAGCTAGCTCGTGTGTGGGAGAACCACTCATAGACAAAATTGGTCGTAATGGAATATTAGGTTTATGAATTTTAGGTAATCCATATAAATTCGGGAGAACTGATCAACTACGTCTTCTCATTGTTCTATCGAAATTTATAAAAGGGACTAATTGCTTTAAATTCTTGAAAAGAAAACTCCCTTCGTCTTGCACTAAACGGTTAGATGAACTTGCTAATCTGAAGTGCAAAATTGCATCGGAAAAGGTAAAACTGGAGTTTTATAAAACTTGCATTAATTCACACATATTTCCAAGACATCTCTATAAATTCTTACGATCTAATAAGTTACAACCAAATGTGTCTAATCTTTTGCGTCTGGCGAAATCTCATAAAGAAAAATGTAATGATATGTTGAATAAACTAATTGAACTTCATACTCAGGCATCATGCGTATTATCTAATCTCTCTCTTCTATGTCGTATTAAATTTATGAATTTTTGCAGTACTGTGGTTGCTAAAACAAATCATACTACTAAACAAAAGCTGAGTAAAACTCTTGTGTATGATAATGATGGAAATTTATTTCAATTTAACCCGGATAA